GCCAAAATATCTCTCATACGTACCTTACTCGCAACGCACAATACTGACCAATGGGACATCTTTCTTAACTCACTAGACCACCAAGACGGTTCAATATACAAACTCAACAAATGTCTCTTACACAAACGTCCAGCATCCCACCCACTAACCGGCCCCGACGGCCTAGTTTTTCCGGCCAACGAACGAGCAGAGCTGATAGCCGACTCGCTCGAACGTCAATTTCAAACAAACCCCGGCCCCGACTTACCAGACGTAACCGCTCACTCCCAGTACCTACAAGGCCTTGACATCACCCGATCTAACCTCTTTACCACTCCCGGCCAGATACAAGACATAATTCGCAACCTTCGCAAAAAGAAAGCCCCAGGTGACGACCTCATCACCAACACGGCTCTTAAATTCCTACCGAACAACGTTATACTGTCCCTTACTCGGATCATCAACAGCGCCTTCAGAATCTGCTACTTTCCCCTTGCCTGGAAAAAAGCAGTCATCATCTCCATTCCCAAACCAGGCAAAGACCATAAACAACCCGAAAACTATAGACCAATCGCCCTCCTCTCCTCCCTGTCCAAAATTTACGAACGACTCATCCTCACCCACCTACAAGACAAACTCAAAAACAAAATCCGTCCCGAACAGTTCGCCTTCAGACCCGAACACTCGACCACACTACAACTGACCAAACTCACCCACCAACTGAGCGAAAACTTTAACAACGACTTAAACACTGCTTCCGTCTTCCTCGACGTGGAGAAAGCATTCGACCGCGTCTGGCACGAAGGCCTACTCTACAAACTCTCCAAACTCAACATCTCGTTAGAAATCGTAAAAATCATCCAATCCTTTCTCACCGACCGTACTTTTACCACTAAAATTGAACACTCCTTCTCTACTACCAGACACGTACTCGCAGGAGTCCCTCAGGGCTCCTGTCTCTCACCGACGCTATACTTGACGTACATTAACGACATTCCAATGACTCCTAAAGCCAACCTCTCACTCTTCGCTGACGACACGATGTTCTTTACTAGTAATAAAAACCCCAAACGTGCAACCATACAACTACAACACCAACTCAACCTCGCGTCCAACTGGTTCCACAGGTGGCGAATCAAAATAAACCCGACCAAAACAGTAGGCGTCCTCTTCGGGCGTTCTAATACAACCCACATTCCACCTCTAACCATCGATAACCAACCCGTTAACTGGTCAAAACAGGCCAAATACTTAGGCGTCACGATTGGACGTAAACTTACATTCAACCAACACATTCAAGACGTAACCAAAAAAGCTACCCGCGTCCGTGGTATGCTTTACCCCTTACTTAACCGTACTAGTCCCGTTCCGCTGAAAACAAAACTTAACATACTTAAACTCTACGTGACCCCTATACTTACATATGCTGGCTCTTCCTGGGCACCCTTTATCGGCCCCTCCCATTGGAGACGTATTGAATCCGTCCAAAACATCGGCATACGCACGATAACCGGTATGCCCACTATCGTTAGAAACTCGGTCCTTTTAAAATCAGCCAACTTCAAATCTATCCAAAATTCCATTTGCTCTCAATCAAAAACAATGTTCTACAATAACTCTTTTTCCGAATACGATCATATCCGCCTCTTAGGTAAAACCCACTCCCCTCCAACCACCAAACGTTTACTCAAACCATACCCATTAAATTGGACTGACTTACATAACTGAACCTACCAATCAACCCCAAAATCCATCCACTAGTAGAGGCACAAGCCTGGAATAGTAAACGGCATAGCCACCCCTCCCAAAGCAAAGCAAGCAAAGCAATCTAGTCAGTCCACTTCAATCCTTCAAACTATCAACATCTCCAAGAAACGTTCCGATAGCAAGAAGACCAGGACCAGAAATCGACCGCCGAAGACCGACGACACCGCCGCTCCACGGCTACCAGCGCCATTCGACCGCAGACCACCGCCGTTCCCGATTGCGTATATCATCATACCGACGCATACCGACAACGACGCCGCTCCACGGCTACCAGCGCCATTCGACCGCAGACCACCGCCGTTCCCGATTGCGTATATCATCATACCGACGCATATCGACAACGACGCCGCTCCACGGCTGTGAACGTCATTCAACTGCCGAACAATAACGACCCGTCAACCACCTATCTACGGGCGCAAAGATCGGTCGATCAACAACGCCATCATCGTCAGGACCAACCGACCCCGTGATTGCCGCTCAACGGGGAGAGACCAGTGTCAGTGTACTCTTGCCGTGACGAGGCCGCCCGACCGCCACTCAACCACCCCAGCCTACGGGATCACCGGATAGGCCGACCACTCACGGCGTGACAACATTAAAAGGCCCTTTTCAGGGCCACCACGACCCCAACCTCGGCACTTAATTAAGTTATCCGACCCAAGTCTGGTTCGTCGTCGGGGTGCCGCTTGACTTAAGTCTGCACCGACGACGGCCGGCTTCCTAGCCGATCATATTGTATAACTTATATAAATCGTTATAAAAACACTTGTGAAGATAGGGTCCGACAATTGTCCGACCACAATACCCAAGCGCCTCCGATTGTGCCGACTCACTTATTTAAGTCCGGTCGGCACAAATCGACGCTTTACTTGTCCCAACATTGTAAATATAAATTATAATTTAACCTAGCAATAGAAAAACTTGATTATCGAGCACACAATTGTTATTTTATTTACGACACGGGTCGTCCAATCGGACGCACCGTTTCAACTGGCGCCCAACCAGTGGCAAGAAGGCCACGACTCCGAGATTCCACCGACAAAATGGTGAAGAATACGCAGGCAGATCGGATCCAGCAACTGGAAGACATGATGCAACTGCTACAGGAGAAAGTAAATACTCAGAACACCGCACTTGAAAACCTAACTAGGGAGTTACGAGACGCTACGGATATAATTAAACAACTAATCAATGACACGGATACAAAAATAACGATCGAAGCAGCAAGACGTGAGAGGGACATCCAATTGGTAAAAACAGCGAGTCAAGACAACGCAAGTACAAGGGCAAGCAACATCGAACTAACAATGCCAACTTTCAGTGGCGAACCGAGCGAGCACCCGAAACAATTCTTGAAAAACCTGAACTCGTACTTATTGCACAAACACATCACCCAAGTTGATCGAATAATTACAATCGAAAATTGCATGAGAGGAAAAGCTGCAAAATGGTTCACCATGATCAAAGACTTGGTACCAAATGAAGATACATTTAAGACACTGTTTTTGAAACACTTCTTTTCGGAAGACCGTCAATGGGACATATTTATAAAATGCACGGAAGCAGGAAAAAAACCAATAAGCAATAACTTCCAGGAACACTTCCATTATTGGATGACAGAGCTTAAGCATCTGGACTCGCCGAAAATGGACGAATTACAGGCTATTAACCTAATAAAAAAGCATTTCCCTATAGCCATTCAGGCTTACATACAGACAACGCAAGAAAAAAAGTTCCTCAACATATGGGAAAAGTTGGGTGAATTAGAAAATAATTACAACAAACAGAACAGTACCGATCAGCAAATAACAAATAATAAACAACCATTCACTAGTCGGTACACTCGTACAAACGACAACCAAACACAACCGTTTACTAGTCGGTACGGTAACACGAATGGCAATAATTCGCAGCAAGTCAGGGACCGATATGCACATACGGGGTCTATACAACAAAATAGCACTCAACAATCAGGTCTGCGACAATCAGCTCATGGGACAAGTGGACAAACACAGTATACATCAGCGCAAGATACAAAAACAATCAGATGCCTCGTAACACACGATGACACAAATGACGAGTCAGCCAATGAGGAGGGAGAGGCAAACATTATCGACGACGATACAAAAAACTTATACGGGGAGGCTATGGTGATGGAAGACCAATAGCTACGGATCCCGTCATTTCCGAAAAACACATAAAACGAATATCATATGTCAAGCAAAACATAAGACTACAACCGCACAAAAAAAAAAGTAATTTAACGTCCAGGATCACTGCAAGTGAACTAACGAAAAATGAAAAATATGAGATCCCATCGAACAATGAAAATAATGGTTGCCCGTATATACACAAATACGAAGTCGGACAACAGATACTTATAAAAAACCACCAACAGTCAAATGCAGAACACGGGGAAGTAAGGAAACTGTTCAACCTTTTCAACGGGCCGTACGAGGTAGTAGAAATAATAAGCCAGAATACATTAGTAATACGAGACCCGACAACGGACAAACAACAGCTGACAAACATCTCTGAAATTCGTCCGTATTACAGACCAAACAATTGCCAACAATAAATATCATGTATAGGATTGGTCAGTCGGATGGACCAATCAAAACGCACACAACGGCACGAAACAAAATATATAAATCAGCAAAGTCACAATCAAATCATCATTCATTAAGTTAATACAGCTGCATACAAAGCGGCACACACACGCACACATTTGTTCCGCACGAATGAAAATTTGTGCTGAGTGATTCCCACCCCAGCACAAATCTGGGGGGGGTATTGTTACGGAACAAACACCCACCAAGTAAAAACGATTGAAAAAAAAGGACACGATATGACGAGTGAAAATCACACATGATAGATAGGAATGTCCGTTCAACGGTGTGATTTTCACTCGTCTAAAACATATTACGCGAACCAATCAACGATGGACTAGATTGTCGAAAAGGGTATAAATACCGGACACTCTCGACAATCTAGTCAGTATTTCGGGTTTCGATTTGAGGTATAAAACATGGTGTCGTCGGCGAATAATGCGAGACTGCTGTTTACGTTAACAGGTATGTCGTTGGTGTAAATAAGGTATAGGTACGGTGACAGGCAGGACCCTTGTGGCACTTCAAAAACAAATTGACCTGGCCTTAACGTGGTTCAAAAACTGGAGGCTAGGCATCAATACAAGCAAGACAGTAGCTATTCTGTTCAACAAAAACACCACGCTTAACTTGAGTAATATTACCATGGCAGGAGTACCCATCCCGTGGACTAACCATGCCAAGTACCTCGGAGTCAGTTTTGACAGATATCTAACCTTCAATAAACACGTTAAAAATACTCTTGTCAAAGCGCGTAGATGCAAAAACATGCTTAACCCCATCCTAAACAGCCGAAGCCCAGTGCCGCTCAAAACTAAAATACAAATCTACCTCATGTATATCAGACCTCTCCTAACATACGCCGCCGAGGCCTGGGGCCCTTGCATCTCTCTCTCAAATTGGAAACTAATTGACTCAGTTCAGACCAGCTGCATACGGACCAGCGCTGGCCTCATGAAATTCGTATCCAACCAAAACGTTCGAGACTCTGCCAGACTAAAAACCCTACGTGAAGTAGTCACAGAAAACTCAAAACGCCTATTCAATCGAAACACCCTCTCAAATCATAGCCATATAAAAGAATTAGGCCGTGACGAAGCCGAAACGACAATTAAGACCACTCCAAAAATACGACCATTCGATTGGTCACATACATAAAATCAAAATCGTTATCTAATTATCTACTTGACATTTCCATCAACTCTTAATAGGCATCTGCCTGAAAAGAGTACATAGGCCAATCAATGGTCGTCCTACATGCAATGCAATGCAATGCAATCTAGTCAGTCCACTTCAATCCTTCAAACTATCAACATCTCCAAGAAACGTTCCGATAGCAAGAAGACCAGGACCAGAAATCGACCGCCGAAGACCGACGACACCGCCGCTCCACGGCTACCAGCGCCATTCGACCGCAGACCACCGCCGTTCCCGATTGCGTATATCATCATACCGACGCATACCGACAACGACGCCGCTCCACGGCTACCAGCGCCATTCGACCGCAGACCACCGCCGTTCCCGATTGCGTATATCATCATACCGACGCATATCGACAACGACGCCGCTCCACGGCTGTGAACGTCATTCAACTGCCGAACAATAACGACCCGTCAACCACCTATCTACGGGCGCAAAGATCGGTCGATCAACAACGCCATCATCGTCAGGACCAACCGACCCCGTGATTGCCGCTCAACGGGGAGAGACCAGTGTCAGTGTACTCTTGCCGTGACGAGGCCGCCCGACCGCCACTCAACCACCCCAGCCTACGGGATCACCGGATAGGCCGACCACTCACGGCGTGACAACATTAAAAGGCCCTTTTCAGGGCCACCACGACCCCAACCTCGGCACTTAATTAAGTTATCCGACCCAAGTCTGGTTCGTCGTCGGGGTGCCGCTTGACTTAAGTCTGCACCGACGACGGCCGGCTTCCTAGCCGATCATATTGTATAACTTATATAAATCGTTATAAAAACACTTGTGAAGATAGGGTCCGACAACAATACCCAAGCGCCTCCGATTGTGCCGACTCACTTATTTAAGTCCGGTCGGCACAAATCGACGCTTTACTTGTCCCAACATTGTAAATATAAATTATAATTTAACCTAGCAATAGAAAAACTTGATTATCGAGCACACAATTGTTATTTTATTTACGACACGGGTCGTCCAATCGGACGCACCGTTTCATAATCAACCCTTACATTTTTTTTTCGTAGGTATATAGTCTATAATCAGTTGTAAAAATAATAATATATATTATATTATAATATTGAGTCACAAGTAGGTAAGGTATAAAATTTTTTTATTTTATTTTTTAATACTGAGAATAAAAAATGATAGGCTGTATTACATTTTTTTTTGGAAAAATCAAAATAGCTAATATTTAATCGAATGTTACAAAAACAATTTGAATGTTCTAAACGTATATTTAAGTCAAGTTTATTGTTTTCAATTTTTTAAAATATCAATAACATTTTTGAGTCAATTAATTTGAATCTTAATATTATAATTGTTTTCAAAATATTATGTTTGGACTTTTTCAAACATAAAAATAGTAAATTTTAAATAATTTATTATCTACACAGTTTTCATAATTTTTTTTCACACTTTTAACAATCATTTTTCATTTTTCATTTGTCTGGTCTTTCTGTCACATACTCCAGTATTATGATATTAAGTGAAAGCATTATTAATACTAATTAGTTTAAAGACACCATACATTAGGTATAATGTAAATATGTAATATTATGAACCTTCATATTATATTATTGTCGGGACTAATCGTTGATTCTATTTTAAATGATTTTTTTCCATTGCAATATCTATTTGAACGAATAATAATTTATGTCACTATTTTATCGATTACTTTTTCTTTAAAGTCCAATTATTTAATATTCCACTGCTCAAACACTCAGCCACAGTGCCACACTATAATATAGACATATACTACAATGTCAGTAGTATTATATAGTAGTGCACTTATCGTGACGAATTAATCGGCAACTCGAATCCCATACACAGGCATATTGACATCCGACGAAACGGCTAGAGAGAATACCACCAATTCGATCGTGGAAATATATCATTCCCACCTATATATACCATCTACATCTACATGATATATACCACCTATACCTACGCTATATATCTACCATATACCTATACGTGCCACATCCGGAGCGTTTTCTGATTTCACACTTGACCGCATCTAAACTCGTCGGGCACTATAATATATAAAGCAGTTTATGTGCAGTGTGGGTAAGCACATATTATTATATAATGTAACTTACAAAGGGATCGAACAAGTGCACATTTTATACCCTATTTGTACAATCGACGTTTGCATATGACACGCGACGACACCCAAATAAGCGTCTTCAGAGTACTATTTTGACTTTCACGTCTTACACACGTCTTTGCTTGACGGTTTTCGCAATACATTATTTGATATACGAACGTGTGTTTTCCGCACAAGGTGTACACAAAATAATACATTTGCAAGTGTACGAGATTTGAGCCGGTTGAACGGAATCGTTTTTACAATAATAATATATCAAGATATAGGTATCACTGACGTATTATGTATTAGTCATTCGTTGCTTTAAAAATAATATATATAGAAAGAGGGGACGACTTTTATTTGAAAAAAACACACGAAGCGGACTGCCCGACCAACAGGTTGCCTATAGAGAGAAGTGGCACAGTAGGTACCTATACGATTCGGAAAATATTATTATGTCATCGGTAACACATTTCATGGAGTCTAAATAGACAATTAAATATACGATTAAATACAGCGACAGAGTATGAAATGAGCAGGATATAGCATGGAAGTCGGTAACTTAATTCCAATCACAAATCACACAAAGTACAAACATCGTGTTCTTTACGTACAAACTGTACGCACAAAATGATATTATTATATCCACATTGGACGAAATGTTCAAGACTTAATCTCATAGAAGAGAATCGTTTTTAGAATAATATATCCAGACAGAGTGTATGTATTAGTTTATTAATTATTTAATGTATTAGTCATTCGTTGCTATGACAGTTTGAAAATATATATCACGCAACCCGTCAATCAGCAGTGTTGGGGAGTAACTTAACTTGAGAACAAGTTACTGTAATGAAATTATTTTATGTAATTCAATGTTATTTTATTGTTAGTAATTTATAATATGTAATTTAAGTGACTTTTTTGTAGTTAAATTACTCGTTACTTTTTTTTGGTTTGATACGTTTTCCGAACTATTATTGATAATGTGTGTAAATATTAAAAATATACCTATCAAAAAGTTTAGTTTTATAAGAAATATTTTCTGAGCTGTGATACTTTTGTTATGACTATTGAGTACTGACTATTTGATGACAAAGTGTTATTTTTAGAATGGAATCCTTATCTTTACTATGTGTTGTATCGTCGTGGAATTTTTTAATTACATGAAACATCATACAGATCTTGGCCAAACACGTTTTTTAACGGCTAACCGACATTACGTGATATTATGAATTATGATACAACTTACTATAAAAAAACAGTTACTACTACTTAATACTTGATAATACTCTGTATACTCTGAGTATCTTACATTGTGTTGAGTAAGACGGTTATAGTAAAAATTCAAAAATTTCTTAACTCGTTTAAAAATATGAAAATTAAAATAAGCTTCGACTAAAACGTCGGAAGTATAAATTGCCAACATGTTTAAGTTCCAGTGATAATTTTGAAAAAAAAATAACTTCTATTGTAATTGAGTTATTTTCTAAACTCAAAAATAATATAATATAATCAAATAAAAGAAAAGGTAATTTAAAAATAATTTAGTTACAATTTTGAAAAGAAATTAGTAATGTAATTTAATTGCCAAAAAACAGTAATTTCCCCAGCGCTGTAAATCAGTTATGGTCATTGGACTCATCAAACTCTATAGTCACGGTACTATTTATTTTTCTATTTTCATTTTTTTAACACACAGCGTATAAACGGTATAAAAAAGAATAATTCAATGATCTCTTTTAGTCGAGACAGAAACATTCAACTTTGAGTCATATTTTTCTATCATTCGCGTGTGAAATTCCGCCGGGCACCGACTCGAATACTTTTATCCGGAACATAAGTAGACTACAGAATACCTACCTACAGTTTAATAATCTTTGAACTTATTCTATTTGTTTTTTAATGGTACCTAATATAGATAAATGTGATTGTTCCACGTACGTGACAATATACATAATATCTAAGTTTAAAAAATGAATCATGTTATTTTATATAATACCACTAAATGGTTTCCAAATGTATTTACCATAGATAAAATTCACTCCGATTTCATCATCACCGTAAAATAGCATTTTACTCAGTACATGTAAGACAAATCAAATTTAAATCAAACATAATATCGTTTACTAATTCATAATATAATGATATGACATATTTTTGATTACATTTAATAAATTTCATTTGGTCATGTTTTATTTCAGACTAAACTATTAACGAAATAATATGTGCGTTCATTAAGCTTGTTTTCCAACACACATAAAATTATTTAAGATGTCAAAAAAATGACAAATTTCAACTCCCACTGTTACGTATAGCCCGTATAGGCGTCATTTTCAACAGACGCCGCCATTGCTTTTTCCTTCGACCGCGAACAATGACCCACTTATAAAGGGCACTTATGTAGTTGAGCAATTGGAGACGAAAACCCTTCGAGTGCACTGGATATGAGAATAGGATAAAATTATTTAGGTGAATATTTTTTGGCCATCTATCTTGCTAAGTTCGTAAAATAAGATTTAGACGTTTGCTATTACGAGTGCAGAAGTTAGAAAACATTAATTCTAAATACTTTTCTAAAAACTTGTGATCAAATAATTTTAACTAAATAAATATATACATATTTTTTTTTTCTAAATGTTTATCGCAAAAGAATTTTTGCATATAATAATATCATCACACATACTTTATCGTTATATTATACAGTTATACACAGACAATCAAACCAGGATTTTAATTTCAAACTTTTCGATAATAAACAAAAAATATTAATATCAATATAATATATTAAATGAAACCCAAGAACGGCCGTATGAGAAAAGAGCAAAATGTTAAGGTCAAAAGTTTAAACAAAAACAACAAATCACAATGC